CTTGCATTCCCACCAACAGTGTAAGAGGGTTCCCCTTTCTCCACAACCTCTCCAACATTTGTTGCTTCTTGCCTTGTCAATTTTTGCCATTCTCACTGGTATAAGGTGTTATCTCAATGTGGTTTTGATTTGAATTTCCCTTATGGCTAATGATGATGAACGTTTTTTCATGTGTCTGTTAGCCATTTGTATGTCTTCTTCACAGAAGTGTCTGTTCATGTCTTCTGCCCATTTTTTTACTTGATTATTTGTTTTTTGGGTGTTGAGTTTGAGAAGTTCTTCATAGATCTTGGATACCGGCCCTTTATCTGTAGTGTAATTTGCAAATATCTTCTCCCATTCTGTGGGTTGCCTCTTTGTTTTGTTGACTATTTCCTTTGCTGTGCAGAAGCTTTTTATCTTGATGAAATCCCACAAATTCATTTTTGCTTTTGTTTCACTAGCTTTTGGAGATGTATCTTGAAAGAAGTTGCTGTGGGCGATGTCAAAGAGGTTACTGCCTATGCTCTCCTCTAGGATTTTGGCCATTGAGTTTTAAGAAGAAGTATCGTGTGGTTTTTCTAGAAAATCCTGAAAGAGAAAGAGTGAAGACCTATTCTTTCCCTTCTTTGATACTGCCACTTGGAATATAGTTGTTGTGACTGGTGCTCCAAAATTCATGCTGGACCAAGAGGACAAGGGCTGTACCTAAGGCAAAACAGCAGAAAACTGAAGTGATCTTGGTATGGTGTAGAGCTATTACACCAACCCTGGACCATCTTCACCTTTTATGTGAGAGAGAAAGAAACATCTGTCTTGTTTATAACATTGCTCTCTGGAGTTTCTATTACTCTGCTGAATTTTATCCTAACCAATCTGGTGAGTAATGTAGATTTTGTTGATGTTTTCATGACAAATGGAGGAGAAGGCATCATTTCACACCACAAAGCAAACAATCTTTTCATTACACAAATTCTCTCTTTAGTCTCTTTCCAGATCCAAATTCTTTTTTGCCCACCTCCCTCAACCCCAACCATCTGTAACATTTTTTTTCCTCTCTTGGATCCCACTGTCATGTCCCTGATCCTATAATAACACTTGGGCGGGAATTCTCTTTGCTCCAGCCCTTTCTCTGGGACTCCTTTCCCTGTGAAGAGGGCCTATTTTACCTGAGCCTTTCCTCAGTGAATATTTTGAGTATTGTGCAGTCTGCCGCAAGATGAAAGTAATAGTAGCATCAACAACAACCACATGATTAAATGCTTACTAGAAGCAGTCATTTAAGTTAATTCTCACGACCACCCTATAAAGTATTATCTTATTTTACAGAGAGAGTAAGTAATCTGCCTGTGGCAGAAAAAGCTAGCTGTCTACCCCAAATTCACACTCCTCTTTCCCTAGAATGGAGTTTTCACTGAGAATTTGCTGTCCATCACACTACGTATATATTCATAATTGTCATATTTTCCTAATATATTGATCCTTGATCATTATGAAGTATCCCTTTTTTGTCCCTAGTAACATTCCTTTCCTTGAAGTCTATTTTGTCTGATACGAATACAAAAGCTCCTGCTTTCTTGTGTTTCACTGTTTGCATGGGGTATCTTTTTTCATCTTTTTTACTTTAAATCCATTTGTCTGTATTTCAAGCGCATCTTGTGTAGACAGCATATAGTTGATACTTGCTTTTTTACCATTCTTATTTTTTTTAAGATTTTGTTTTTAAGTAACTTCTATACCAACGTAGGGCTCAAACTCATAACCCTAAGAGCAAGTGTCATATGCTCCACTGACTGAGCCAGCCAGGTGCCCCTATTATGTATTTGAATATGTGGTTTTTTAAAAATTTAAATTCATTTAGCCAACAAAATATGTGTTTTAACAAAAACAAAATTTGTATTTAATATGCATTAAACATACATCATATTTAATATGTATTAATATATATTTATACTTATTCATAGGTCTGCCATTTTGCTACTTTCTATCTCACTGATTTTTTGTTTTTCTGTTCCTTATTTCCTTCTTTTGTGTTAATTGAATATTTTTTAGTATCCCATTTTAATTCCTCTATTGACTTTCTTTCTCTTCATTATTTTTTGTTTCTGTAGGGTTTTTATTTTTTTGAGAGAGAGAGTACATGAGAGAGAGCACAAGTGGAGGGCAGAGGGAGAAGCAGGCTCCCCACTGAGCAGGGAGCCTGACGGGGGTGCTCCATCCCAAGACCCGGGGATCACCACCCAAGCTGAAGGCAGATGCTCAACCGACTGAGCCACCCAGGTGCCCTTCTGTAGTGTTTTTAAAAATGCATTTTTAACTTATCCCAATCTACTTGGAGCTAAGTGGACTTACTCCAGATAAAATACAGAATACTTGCAATAGTATAATTCCATTTATCCCTTGTTCTTAGTGCTATTTTTGTCATATACATTACATCTATATTTGTTACAAGCCCATCAATACAGTGTTACACTTTTTTGCTTTAAATAGTCATATGTCTTGGGCGCCTGGGTGGCTCAGTCGGTTGGGTATCTACCTTTGGCTGGGGTCATGATCTCAAGGTCTTGGGATTGAACCCTAGGTCGGGCTCCTTGCTCTGTGGGGAGTCTGCTTCTCCTTCTCCCTCTGCCCCTCCCCCTGCTTGTGTGCATTCTCTCACATAAATAAAAAATCTTTAAAAAAATAAAATAAAATAAAGTCATATGTCTTTTAGATGAGGAAAGAAAGAAAAATATAAACCGATTACTTTTTACACTTATCCACATATTTTTTTTAAAGATTTTATTTATTTAATTGACAGAGAGAGAGAGACACAGCGAGAGAGGGAACACAAGCAGGGGGAGTGGGAGAGGGAGAAGCAGGCTTCCCGCTGAACAGGGAGCCTGATGTGGGGCTTGATCCCAGGACCCTGGGATCATGACCTGAGCCGAAGGCAGTCACTTAACGAACTGAGCCACCCAGGCACCCCTACACTTACCTACATATTTACTCTTTCTACTTTTTGGTATAATTTCACTATACTATCAAGAATCTTAAAAAATATATATATATATATTTTAACCAGTAATTGTACTTACAGGAATTTTTATGGCAATAATTAGAGATGGGAATATTTCTTTCATAATCATGTTTTTCTCATTGTTTCTTATAATAAAATTTGAAATAATTTAAATGTCTAAAATAAGAAAATCGTTATATAAACTTGTGTTACATACATAGGATGGATAAGCACATTTTTTTTTTTAGGATATTGGTTAACTGAGGCATATATAACATTGTTTAGTTTTTAGGAAAAAAAGACTAAAAAGAAATATATCTAGATATTAACAGTGGTTCTTTCTGGGTAATGGATTCTTTGTTTGCATTACTGCCTTTTGTTTATTTACACTATTTTGCATTTTCTAAATTTTTACAATATATGTTCTTTTATAATCAGAAGAAAAGTGAAATGAGGAAAAGTCAAGATTAGGGAGGTCATGTTATATAAACACTGGACAGGATCTTTGAAACTAGTTAATCATAGTATTGAGAATAAATAATTTTCGTAAATATATTTATCAACTTGAATTCAGGATAACATATGTCTTTAGTTTGACAAGTTTGAAGCATAGACAGTAAGAAGGCAAATTGTGGCAAGAAGTATATGAATTTATATATCATTCAATATATTAAAGCCTATTCTGTTGGTAGGCTTAGCTTTTCTTGTGTGATTTAAAGATTGCTACAGGTCTGTAAGTGTCTCAAAGTATCTCCCTCATTATGGCTTCCTGAGCCCTTGAAATTCCTATGAAGCAACTCCTTTTGTTTTCTTCCTCTGGAGAACAGTTTGGAAGTTCCTCAAAAAGTTAAAAATAGAACTACCCTATGACCTAGCAGTTGCACTACTAGGTATTTACCCAAAGGATACAAAAACACAGATTTGAAGGGATGCATGCATCTCAATGTTTATAGCAGCATTAGCAACAATACCTAAGCTATTTATCGAATGATGAATGGATAAAGTATATATATATAGATATATAATATTTATAATGGAATATTATAATGGAATATTACTCAGCCATCTAAAAGAACAAAATCTTGCCATTTCAACAATGTGGATGGAGCTAGAGTGTATTATGCTAAGTGAAATTAGTCAGTCAGAGAAAGACAAATACCATATGATCTCACTCATGAGGAATTTAAGAAAGAAAACGAACATACGGGAGGAGGGGGGATAAACAAGGGAGAGAGGGAAATAAACCATAAAAGACTCTTAACCATAGAGAACAAACTGAGGGTTGATGGAGGGAAGTGGGTGGGGGGATGTACTAGATGGGTGAAGGGTATTAAGGAGTGTACTTGTTGTGATGAGTGCTAGGTCTTGTATGTAAGTGAATCAGAACCACTGATTTCTACTCAGAAACCAATATTGCACTGTATGTTAACTAAGTAAAATATAAATAAAAAAAATAAACTTCTTTTGTTTTCTTCCAATGAAACGTACCTTATTTTACTTAGCAGGGTAGCATCCATTGACACATAACCATGGGTTATTGTGGGACAATAACCTCAGAACATTCTGATGAGGAATATTTTGACAGTTTTGGTAAAGACCAACAGATACATAGCTGTCAGAGTAGGGCAGTTCTGACAGAATTCTGTGGTGGGGTGGGTGGGGTGTTCTAGAAAGTTCAGTGGCAGGCTGAAGGTATTGGGCACTTTATAGGGTTGGTAAGTGGGTAGAAGAGAGAGTAAAAGAAAAAAAGGAGAGAGAATACCAAATGGAGATGCAAGAATCATCCAGAATTTATTCATTCTTATTTGCACACAGTAGGTATTAAGCTTATATTCTCCTTCAAGTAGCATTTGTCAGTGACCATTTACTCCCACAGTTCCTTGCTGCTTGTTCCTTCATTGAGATAGACATCAAACTCCTTTGTAAAGTCTACAGTTCTTTACCTAGGCAAGATATGTTTATTATTTTGCCCTTTACACCTTCAAATTCCAAACAGTTGCCTCAGTAGTTAAAAGAATTAATATCTAATAAAGGGACACAGTGAGTGTACCATACCAGGGAAAATATATATGCTAGTTAATCAGGCCTTCCAAAGATTATACCTCTTATTCCTTGGCTGTCCCACATGGTGACAACTCTTTAAGATGAAATTTAAAACTAGATGAAAGAGAAGACAGAGATCTACGGATGTTTTTGCTAGATGGGCCTTTCAAAGTCTTGTAAGGTAAGTTGCATTGTCAGCCTCTGTTCAGTCTTCTTATAGGAGCAGTCCAAAGGAATTCGTAAATCCACACACACAAAGTCAGAGAATCAGAATATTTAGGGATGTAATAAATTGAAATCTAACCCTTTCATTGTACAGATGAAAAAATTCAAGTCTTGACATTTGATTGACTTAACCAAGATTGTAAATAATAATAGCAGAGCCAGGATTAGAACTCAGGTCTTTTAGCTACTAATCTAATGGGTTTCCACAATATCACATTGCCCCAAGTCCAGGTATTAGATACACACCTTCAAAGCCCATAAAAACACCAAACAAAGCAAGGCAAAAAGCCAAAAGCAAGATCCTGCAGGTCTGACATCAAACACTGGGAGAAAATGTGTAAATAATAGGTGAATTAGAATCTTAAGCCACGCCTTCTTTTGTAAAAAGTGGGTTATGTCAACTGTACTAAATAATTTTTTCCTCCTAAAATTGCTAAACAAAATAGGTTGCTACTTCACCAGGCCCTGAGAAATTTTTTGATATCAAATGATGTTTATCATTTGAAATCTTGCTTCAACTGATTTGGGCAATGGTTTTTAGGAGACAAAGAGTAAGAATGAGCCTGTTGTGTCAAGATGCCTGGCTGAGTGCCACAGGAGTCAGAATAAGGTCATGTTTATTCTATTGGACATTTTATTCTTTATCTAGACTCTATGAAGGCAAAGAACATGATAATGAAGTCCATTTGGTGACCTAAATTGGGAGGCACTGTCAATGTGAATGAAGGCTGAGAAGTAAAATACAGTAAATACAAGTTTAGACATGTATGCCAGGGAAGATACAGCAGGACTTCACTTTGGAAGAAACCTAACAGCTTGGAAGGGAAATGAGTTCCAGAAATTCTAGGGATAGGAAGTCACTGAAAATGATAATGACTAAAAAAGAAAGGGGGAATTATAACAGTTTACAAAATGATATAGGATTATAATATTGTATAGAGAAAAAGAAGACCCCAAACAAAAAGGTACAACTATGCACTTATGTACATTGTACATTATATTACATACATCTTCCATTTTGAAACCTACAAGTAGAAAGATTTCCATTATTATATTGGGAATATAAATATTTTTGGTGTGGAATTGGAGGTGGTGCAAAATAACGAAGTGAAGAGATGAATTGCATATAAAAGGGACTGTGAGTACAATGTGAAGGTGTTGGTAGTATCCTCAGGATCCCATTTAAATTAAAGACAAAAGAGGAAGAATTGAAAAAGAGTAAGAGAAGGAGATTGCCATTTCTGCCTTCTGTTGTCTATTATGTTTTTCTCTCTGCTGCTTCATCTAGAAAAAAACAGATTTTTTTTTCTTAATAAATCCTTGCTAATTTCTAGGTCTAGGGAACAACAGCCGGGCCACAGCTACAGCCCATGGCCAGGTGGTCAAGGTAAGGCTCCCTTTATAATCCTATGAAAGTATTCTTATGTCTCAGGGGGCCAGAGCCAGGGCTGGTCAATTTTTATCATTCTCCCGTATTTTGGAATTTGAAGGGTTAGAATTCTCTCCAAGTGTCTTTATCAGAGCATATAGCAGTCTATTCCCCACTATTTAAGTAATGTTATGATGAAATTCAGCACATGTGATTTCTATGTAGTGAGATTCTTTCAGAAATCAAATGCCATTGGACCAGAGATGGACTTTCCCTGCACAGTTGGATGGAGTAACTGAAGTGCCCTTTTCAGCAGATACTTTTATAGAAACACCCCCTATCCACAGGAAATGTGTTTCAAGACCCCCTGTGGATGCCTGAAACCACAAATAGTACCAAACTCCATATATACTATGATTTTTCCTATACATACATACTTATGATAATTTAATGTATAAATTAGGCACAGTAAGAAATTAACAACAATGACTCATAATAGAACAATTATAAAAATATACTATAATAAATGTTATATGAATTTGGTCTCTCTCTCAGTCAAAATATCTTATTATACTGTACTCACCCTTCTTCTTGTGATGATGTGAAATGATAAAATGCCTACGTGATGAAATGAAGTGAGGTGAATGACATAGGCATCGTGATGTAGCATTAGGCCACTAGTAACCTTCTGACAGTCAATGAGAATATGTCCAGGTATGTGAGGTTCATCTGCTTTTGACTGTGGTTGACTGCAGGTAACTGAAACTTCGGAAAGCAAAACCACAAATAAGTGGGAACTACCTTACTTCATGGTAGTAGAAATCCATTAAAGATTGCAAGAGACATTTAAATTAAAGGCTGACTTACCCAGAAATGTTAAAAGACCTAAATATACAAATTGTCATTGAGCCATATGTAAGTAGCAATTTAATTGTTCTGCAAAAGTATAATAGAAATTATAAGTGATATATGGTAAGTAAAAGGGAACAGAATTATTAGAAAAAGAAGCATGGTTTTTGGTAAACATCCATCTAGCCTCCAGTTTAAAGAGGTTGATTCACCTTATAATGAAGACCCCTCCTGGGATCTTAAAAGCAACAACTTTAGATTATCTCCCAGGAGAAGATTTTCCACTTCTGTATTCTGAAAGTCTGGCTGTTTAAAAATGTCAGAGGTAACACAGCCATCTAGAGTGCTCTGCTCTTCTCCAACTGGCACATATCACATGTTTGTGATAATTTTCCCAGACCAGCATGCTATTTTGACAGAGGGCACTGTGTCAGCATTAACTTACCTCACTATATCCTTTCATGAACCAACCCAGGGAATCCTAAACCACATCTTTCCTTTACCTACTCAGTTCTGTGTATCTGAAAGATTTAACTCATAAAGAAATTGAATGAAAGGCCACAACTCTTCAGATTTATAGAGCAACAGTGTTATATGTGCTGTAAGACAGTAAAAGGGGCATCGATGTCTGTGAAGGTACAGTGGTGATTATAAGGAATTTATTAGATGCATCAGATAAAAGTCATTACTGAAAGAATTGTTTTTATGTTCAAAGACCTTCAAACAAGTGCTTTATGGTTGAGGGAAACCTGTTTCTGATTCAACTAATATTTGTGGGATTTATTAATGGGTACCTGCTACATAGGCCAGGCATTATTTATTTCACTTTAGCCTTACTCAATGCCAAGTATTGTGCTTATGCTAGGGATACAAAGACAAATAAAACATAATCACCACCTTCAAGAAGTTGATAGTCTAATAGGGGAGAGAGATTCACAAGTAGTTGAATTCAGTAACAATGAAAGAGGCAAGCCTGGAAGGCTATGGAAGTACACAGAGGGGTTAGGCAAAGTCTTCTTTAAAACTTTGAAACAAGTCTTAAAGAAGGATAGAAGAAACAGCTTGAGCTAGGGCCAAGGGCTAAGAAACAATGCTTCAGTGGTATTGGAGAACAGAGAAGGGTGTGGGCACTGGGGGGAAAATGATGGCCAAAGAGTCAGGCAGACTCCAGATCATGCAAGGCCTCATGTGACATGTTAAGGAGCTTCCCTAGAAGATATTTGATGAAATATTTTGTTCCTAGGGAGAATTCTGTGGGGGAAGCAGTTTTCCAAACATTGGATTGAAAAGGCTTCTTTAACATAGAGTCTGTGAGAAGCTTAAATATGTTAATATACAGTGTGATTCCCCAGGGACATACTATACAGTTTTCTGACTATGAAACACTTATAAAAGATCATCTTTTGGGACTAGAGTTCTAGAAGCATGCTTTGGGAAGTAATGCACAAATCTTTGGGGGAGCCACTAAGGGTTTTAAATAGATCTGTGGTATGGATAAGTTTGCATTTTAGAACACACTGGTAGCATTCCAGAACTCTGGCAGGAGTGTAGGAAACAATTGTAGAGGGACAAAATTGATGGCAGAGAGGCCAGTTAGGAAACCATTGTTCCAGGGGAGTAAAAATGAGGACCTGTGCTTAGTAGTAGAAGGAAGGTAAGAATTAAAAAAATGTTTAGGAGATTGACAAAACTTGATCATTGATTGAATGTACGGAGAGTGAGGGATAGGAAAGATTCAAAGTTTCTAACATGGGTAATCAGGTGGATTGGGTACCAACACTTAAGTAATTATAAGAGGAGGCATAGGCTTAAGAAAGATACTATGAGTTTAATTTAAGACAAGTTGAGATTGAGGAAATCTATATCATAACTAGGGGAAATTTTAGGAGGTAGTTGGATGTGAGTGTGTGATGATTGGATGTTTCTCTTAAACACCCAGATTTGGTAGTCAACAGCATTTAGGTGTAGTTAAAATTATGACAATATTAAAAATCACTCAGGAAGAGCAAGTAGAATAAGAAGAAATATGGACCATATGGATACATGGATAACTGTTAAACTAGATTAAAAGTATATATATATACATACATATGTTTTTAGGATTATAGGTGCATGTAATGTATATTTCACATTATATAACAGAATCATGATAAATAAATAATAGCACCTCCACTAAATTTGTAAATAAGACATGGTACTCATGATCTTAATAAATATTATTCTAGATTCAAAAAAAAAAAAGAAGAAATATGGACCAAGGAGAGAAACTGGGGGAATTCCAATAAAAGTGTTTACATACATAACAATTTCAAAATCCGAGACAACTCAAACCATAAACACAGGCTGCTATTTAAAAACACCAACAACACAATATTAGATCTATTTTGGTGATGATTTTAGATCTACATTAAGTTCATGCTTTTCTTTACTTAGACTTTATATTTGTCTATATCAAATATTATAATAAGCATCTCCACTCCCACTCCAATTAAATTACCAGAATTTTTTCTTTTAACTTTGAAATGCTTTCCTTCTTTTCATTGCTCTTTGAAAACAGATTTGGCAGCAAATAAAGATTTGAACTGAGGCCATCATATTTAAACCTATGATTTTGCAGATTGCTAGTGGTGGCTCCAAAATTTCTACATAGGAAGGGCTTGGGCTGGTTGAAAGAAGGTGCTAACGCAAGGTTTAAATAAGAAATGTTTTTGATAGGATTGAACGTTTCTTTGGGGAGAATAGGGGTTGATGAAAATTATGCATGGGATGGAAGGAGCTAAATTTTCCATAGAGCCTCTACTTGGCTCCATGATGCTGTTTCACATAATTAAAAAGATAGCAATTAGTGTTTTTATTTATTTATTTATTTATTTATGAGAGAAAGAGAGCGTGAAGGGGGGAGGAGCAGAAGGAGAGGGAGAGCAGAAACTTAAGCAGGCTCCACACCCAGCGCAGCACAGAACCTAACACAGGGCTCCATCTCATGACCCTGAGATCATGGCCTGAGCCAAAATCAAGAGTCAGATGTTGATGGACTGAGACACCCAGGTGCCCCTGTAGCAATTAATATTTCCAGCTGATATTAAAACTAACCCTCTAAGTAGCTAATAATGTGTCAACCTGAAAAACAGCTCCTGCAACTAAATTGTGCTAAGCCACATCTTCATTGTATATCTAATACCTAATGTAAACTGTTGATTAAATTACCTATTAACATTCTATTCTTTAGTACATTGAGGTTGCTTTTTTGTTTTTTAAAGCAATGTGGTAGAACTTTCAAATATAATCACCCATGGCAAAACACAGCTTTACATAGTATCTACCATTGTTGGCTCTCAAGTCTTTTTATTGCACATACTAAAGTTTTTACATAATCATCTAAATCCTTTGTGGAAAGAGTCAGAGTATAAATAAAAATGAGTAAATAAGTATATGCAGCATTATACCTATTATGATAAATTATACATAAGATAAATTATATATCTCATTCACTGTTATGTTGTAAATGACATATTTTGGTGTTTGTGTTGCAAATTTAATGTTATATGAATGTGCAGGATTATTAAGCAACACAGAACAAACTTTAAAAAAATTGTGAAATATTCTGTGTGTATGTTAATCAACAGTAATTTAATAGATTATACCTCATTGATTTGAAGAATTAAAGCAATTAGTTTCCTTGGCACAGAGTTTTCTTCCCAGGAGTAATTTAGGCATCACAAAATCTGTCATGTAGTCGTAACATTGGAAAAAGCGAGGCAATGTCTCTAAATACGGCTTTACAGTAGGCAGTTTTGCCTGGAATCCTTGCAATGGGTCCAATTAAGTTGAAGCTTACTAAAAGCAAGGTGGTTTTCAATGCTCAGTTTCATGATCAAAACAATGTTTATTGTGAGGTTCTCGGAATGTCAATGCATGGCTACTTCTTTAGCACAAGAGATAGTGTTTGGTTAAATAATAAAACTATGGCAACAGTAATTTTTTCCAAAGGCTCCTTTCTTTCAAAGAATGTCAAAGAAAGGGCATTTTATAGCAATAGAGTCTGCAAATTTAGAGCAGAAATAGTAAATTGCATCTCTTAGGACCTCAAGGTGGTGCTTAAATTTTTTTTTATTTATGAAGAAGAAAGCATATAATAAGAACAGGAAATACAGGTTTGAAGAAAAGAT